TCTCTCCAACATTGACTATTCTCACTATTTGATGAGTGTGAGATGAGTGTAAGGTGTATCACAAGTGTGATAATATTGCACACATTTTCAGACTTTTGCCCTTTATTGATTAGTTTTTTTTTTCCTCTTTAAAAATGTTATTTATTATATGGAGTGGCTTTCTGGAGGGAAAAGGGTAGGGACACTGGAGAAAATTTCATGATGTAAAAAACAATAGTAGTAAAAAACACACACACATAGACGTAGCTGCAGGAACGAATTTTTTGTTTAAGACCTATGTAAAAAATTATTTTCATCAAAATGTGAACACAGGTGGTAGGACTTGGTTCCTAACTACACTTGGACAAGTTGTGAGGTGAAGAAAACTAAAAGTCTGCGTCAGCTTTCTGCCTCAAAATAAATAGAAATTTTCATTAATGTTTAGTTTATTCTTTTCCCTCACTTTTTCTACTAGATAAGTTAACATTACATTATACATTAGCAGTATACAAAAGGCAAATTCAATATACAGTAGACTGGCCGTAAAATAAAGTTTGACAGGCATGTACAACTTAAAATAGGGAAGTCGTATGCCAAGTACTATGCTAAGAACTTTACAAATATTAAAGCGCTTTACATATCTTATCTCATTTGATTTTCATGACAACTTTGGCAGGTAGATGCTATTATCATTTGAATTTTATAGTTGAGGAAACTGAGGCTGCAAAGGTTAAGTGACTGCCCAGGGTCACAGAGCTAGTGCTGAGGCTGCGTTTGAAGATAGGTCTTCCTCATTCTGGGTCCATCATCCTGTCTGGTCTGCTACCACTTGCCTAATAAAGGAAAAGGCAGTCATTCACTGGAGGGGTGACCCATTTTGCACTGGACCTGCACAGTAGGGAAGGGGAAAAGTACATGCACTTATTTATTAAGTACCTACTGTGTGCCAGGCACTGTGCTAAATACTTTACAGATGTCTCATAGAAAGATCAATAAAAATATTGCCAGCTGGTAGAGTTTTTGAAGGCATTTAAAAAAAAGCCATTCATGAGACCATGTTATTTCTTCTAACTCATTCATTACACTAAAAATTGCTTAAGGTTCTATACCTCTAGTCACCCATTTCAGGTGCTTATTGAAAAAAGGAAAAGAAGAGAAAGGTCACGCACACAACAGAGATTGAGGGGGCAGTGTTCTGTGAAAATCAAAGGCAGAAGAAATCGAAGTGATATGGTGGAAGAGTAATTTAACAGACCAAATGGCTGATGACATTTTGTGACCCAGATCACAAAGTGACCGGGAAGGGAATCTTATTGAATCCAAATGCTTTTCTGGTCCTGATTTTGATCGGTAAAAAACTGGTTGCCATAGCAGAAATGCCATCTTGGTATGTATGATAGATGAATAAGAGACTTCTCTTACCATAGGCTTGAGCAGATAACACCTGGAAGTGCTGCCCTAGCCCAGGATTTGGGTGGAAATTGGTGTCAAGAAACACAGAGACATTGATGAGATCTGTTGTAAAGAGCCTGTTTCATCAAGAGATGAAGGATAGGCAGGTAACTGAAGACACGCTTTAAGAATAATGTTACGGAAGCTAAAGCTTATGATAAAGTCTAAGGGCACTTAACAGTGATTTTAGAAAATTTGGTGCTGGGTAAGAGAAGGCAGAAGGGCAGCCTGCTGTTTTTTGATGTGCCTGTGCAAATGTATTACCCGTTTCTTCAACATAGATTGTATAAATACTGATATTTCAGCGATTAGATGTACAGATCCTTGGGAGAGGAAACTCATGTATAAGGATGTTTTCCAAAAGAAATGAGAGAGACCTTCAGTTATGAAAATCAAGCTCTCTTCATAGCCACTTGGATAAAAATATTTCCCATAAAGCTTCATTCTGTCACCCAGTTACCATTCCGGTTATAAGCAGTTGTCCCTAGGCAGAATTGTTATATTTCTTCCCGGGTTTATCTTCTCTGTCCCCAGCTGTTCCTTCTTTTACCCTTTTTCTGTGATACCCACCTGTTACTTCAGGGATCTCATGCTTCCTGTTCACTCTCATAGCCTTTCTAAACTGCAAAAAACAAGATACTGTATCAGTTGATTCATACTTCAGTGTGAGTTAATTTTAATGTATCATTTAGTGGATAGATTTTGTATTTTAAGCATTCTCTAATCACAGATTTTTTTTTTGGTTTTATCTCCATTAAAGGAATTTTGGATATTAACATATAGGTGGAGTTATGGGGAGTGTGTTTATGGTGACAGGTGATCAGGTGTCTGGGATAGCAGCATCAAAGAATCTGCATTTGAATTCCGCCTCTGTGTCTTACCTAACTTGTGTGACCTCGTGGAAGTCACTTACCTTCTCTGTAGAATGAGGATGGGAGGCAGGTGGTGTAGTGGATAGAGCACCAGCTCGGGGATCAGAAGGACCTGAGTTCAAATACTGGCTGAGACACATAGTAGTCACTAGCTGTGTGACTGGGCAAGTCACTTAACCCCGATTGCCTCATAAAAAAAATAAATAAAATGAGGATGGACTAGCTGATCTCTAAGCTCTTCTTGACTTTAAGTATAATCCTAACTCCCCACTTCTGCATGGGCAGAGGCACTAGCTGCATCTCTTTGCGATGGAGGAGCTTGTATCTGCCTTGAAAAATAGTGTTAATTTGTTACACTTGGCTTCATCAAAAAGAGTAATGTATGTAAGGCATTTTGCAAACCTAAAATGTTAGTTATTAATTTGTATTAACATTTATTATAAATTTGAAAATAATTAATTACTTATTTTTTATGGAAGACTTTTACATTTTTGGCAGCAAGTGTATTCAGTGAAAATCCTGATGAAGTCCTAGAAAGTAACTTTGTACACATACCTTTAAAGTCAGTAAGACTATCAGTAAGACATGGAGTTTGTTGATTATTATTCTTCATTCTCTCAAGCCTTGCTTGTTTGAATGTTTCTGTTAGCTTCATTTTTGTTTGTTTTTGAGAGAGTGGTGGTATTAGAATTCTAAAGTTAATTGCCCCCCAAAAGACAGTAGAATATGGAAAGAAGATTCTAAATGATTAATCTCCATTTTACACTGCTTGCTTTTTAAAAAGTATATAGGTAATTGTAAATATTACTTAAAAAAGCTGGTCTGCTTCTTTAAGTTTGCTCTTCTACCTCTTGTTGTCTGCATTTAAAAACATGTTACAGTGGTGCTCTTTTTTTGGAGGGGGGTGGGGATCATTATTGCTAGCCCCGAACTCTTTCCCTAAAGCTCTGATCCCTGAATAAAACAGGAGAAAGGGGGGGGGGAAGTTTGTAATAAGCAAAACAAATTTACAGAGCCATGTCTAAAAATTATGTCTCTGCACCTTGTGTTCACTACATGTGTGGCGGGGGGTGGGTAGCACACTCCATCATAGGTTCTCTGGAGACATGGTTGGTTGGTCATTGCATTGATCAGAATTCAAAGTTGTTTTTCTTTACACTGTTGCTGTCCTTGTATAAATTGTTCTTTTGGTACTCTTCAGTCTTCACAAGTTCACAATATGCTGGATTCTATGAAATTGTCTTTGTTTTGACATTTCTTATAATTCAGTAATGTTGTTACATTCTTGTACCATAATTTGTTAGCCATTCTCCATTTTTCTTAAGAGGCAATCTTAAGTTAGACCAAGTTAGAGTCTTCTGCCATTTTCAAAACCGTAGGTGGGATTCTGCCTCTGGCTGGGGTGTCTCTGGACTTCTGCATCTGAGGGTCGTTTTGGCCAGCATTTCTCTCCCCCTTTCCCCCATCTTCCTTTCCACAGGGGTTCAGGAGCGAACAGCTCCTGGTTGATTTTTTTATGCTTCTAGCATTCATGAGCCACACAGTGCATGTGGATCATTGCAGCTAAGATTGGAGCTTTTTTGTAACCTGTAAATAATGCCCCTATTTTCATTTAAAAATATTTATATATTTCCATAGATTGTAAGATGAAATTTAGTGATAGATCCACATAGAGTCTGATGAAGGCTGACTGGTACAGGCACTCTTAGGGAAATTCGGGTGCCTTCCCTCTCTCGTTTCCTATTTATTATCCTGTAGAGAGCTTGTTTGTCTGCTTACTCTATCCCATTAAGATTATGAGCTCCCTGAGGGTAAAGGGTGTTTGTGCCATTCTTTTCATCCCCAGTGCTTAGCACGGTGCCTGGCACGTAGTAGGCATTTAATAAATGTTTAACTGTGACTAAGTGGAAGCTTTGTCAGGCATTTACATTTTTTTTTTACCTTCAAGTGCTCTAAAAAGGAGTGCCTGTAATTTTATTGAGAGAGAGAGAGGGAGGGAGAGAGAGAGAGAGAGAGAGAGAGAGAGAGAGAGAGAGAGAAGAGAGAGAGAGAGAGAGAGAGAGAGAGTGAGAGTGTGTGTGTGTGTGTGTGTGTGTGTGTAGTAGAAAAAGTGAATAAGAATTGGGACCTCTTCGGGTAGTCAGGGATTGTACTTGAAACATGCCCTCATGATCTGCACACACTTCTCCAGAAGCTGTTGGCCCGGCCCGCTCCATGTGTTCCGGCCGGAATCCCGTGCTCACACAGCCCTAGGCCGGGCGCACCCTCCTGCCTCCCAGCTCCTCTCCTCCCTGACGCGGCCCCGGCCCCGGCCCCGCGGGCTCCGCTCCGGCCGCGTTGCTGCCAGCCCACTTCGGCGGACCCTTTTGTTCAGCCGCCGAGCGTGACGGGTGCAGTAGCATTTTGAGAAGGAAGGGGTGCTTATCCCTCCTTAGAATGTTGAATTAATTTAACTCGGCGATTGCAGAATAAAAGAACCTCTTTTGTCTGTTTAGTTGACTCAACAGAAGTTCTTTCTGAATAGGGCTACTGTGTCTTTAAAAAAAAAAGCCCTCCCTGCGTCCCCTGCTCTTTTGGTAGATTCCGGGGAGGCCGCCTCGAGCTGCGCTCTCTCCCGGCCCGGCCTGAGTGGAACGTTCCATTTCCTGTTCCCTTGCTGCTGACACAAGAGTGTTCCTGCTGGCAGTGATCTAATCATAGTGCAGTAAGAAACATGGCAGTTTGATGAAACATGGTGGAGACAGCGGCTGAAATGGAAGCATATGTTCTAGAAGACATTCTGGAGGTAGGGCTAGGCTTATGAATTGAAATGAAGTCAAAATCTTAACAAAGAAATCTTAGCAGATGGGTTTAAAAAAAAACCAGATTGAACAGTTAGAGGAAGAAGAAAGAGAACTTAGGTGTAATAAAAGCAAGAGTCAGATCTTGCTTTATGTAAAACGTACTCTTGCTGATTTCTCCGATTACTAAATGAATGTGCAGTTAATGTTAGTGTTTTCTGTGAATTTTGAATGTTGCATATTTTATAAAAGAGGGAGGGGAACTCATACTTGATAAAAAAAAATCACATGCTGTTGACCTTTAGGTTAACTTACTAACCTACAAAAGTCTAACCTACAAAAGTGGGTCTACAAAACGGCAGAGTGTATATTATCATATACCTTGCACAGTTCATTTACATATCTACACCTAAAGTTGAGTTTATAGTCAAATATTAAAAAACAGCCATTTTTGATTGATAAAATAAGCTATTAAATCTTTCATTCCAGTTACTTAAACTAGCCAGTACAATTTTGTCTAAAAATAAGAAAATATGTTTTTGAAAATGATCCTAGTCAGTTTAAAGCTTTTAAATAATTTAAATTACTTTAGTCAAGAAACCTTTTGAAATCTTTTCCGGGGGGGGGGGTCCTAAGTTGAACAATTAAGAGTAAGTTGTACTCTTTTGTTTAGTCACCAGAATATTATTTTTTTCTTTCCCTCTTCCTACCCCCACCCCTCAATCAATTTTGAGAGCCTATTTTACATTTTTCACCTATTTAAGTAAATACATATCACTTGGTGAGTCTCATAGTGAAACTGTGAATTGGTTTAGGCCTTCTGTATAGTTCACACTATCAACTTATAAATGTGTTTAAATCCCATATTTATCTGCAATGAAATTCTTTTTCTTTATACTGTCCATTAAAGAAAAAAGACTGGTGATGTTTTATTTTTCTTAAGAGCTGGTATTAAACTAATTTTGTAATTGTGATTCTGCTGCCCTGAGATTAGTATATTTCTTTGGGGGGCGGTGAAAGGTTGCAAAGGCTGAGTTGATGGGGGAGGAAGAAAGGATGCTCATTATCCAGGGCTGCATGATCAATGAGCATTTTCTGGAGTCCCTCAGTGAGTGCTTGGAGCTGACATTGCAGTAGGATCCTTGTGGTTGCTCTGCAGAATGAAAACTGATTCCATTGTATTACTTATCTCCTTACAGATATTTCCCAGCACCTCCCCTCTTCATCTCCAAAAAGCTATTGTTTGATTCTAGTAGAATTTCATTTTCTCCCATGCTCTGTTTCTGTCTCTCCTTTGCTCCTCCACTGTTACTGAGTTGCTTTAGGAAGGGGCATGGTTAAACTATCTGCTTACAGATAGGTGAAAAGATCCACGTTGGGCGTGTTCTATGAGCAAATTTCAGTGGCAGAGCTTAAAAAATGTAATTTATTACAAAAAATCTAGTAGCACATGTGCATGTATTTCAAAAGTTTTTAAGGGTATACTTTTTTCATTACTAGCAACATTTTTATCAATTTTAAAAATTTCAGTGAATCATATATTATGTACTTATTATTTTCCCAAGTTTACTTTTCAGTATCTAGTCTTGTGCATTTGAAGTATAGATTTTTAAACATTAATGTGAAAATTATTAGTTATATCTTTGTATCAAAATTCTTTAAGTAATTTCTTATTAATCTGCTTAACTATTTCCTTAATAATTGTCTCTTATTTAATTGAACGTTTAGTATTTGAGATATTGGAAAAATTTCTGTAAAAGTTAGAAAACTTATTTTTTTCCTAAAATCTGTAAATAATTACAGTAGTTCACAGTGCAGAGAGAACAAGCCAATCATTATCTAGACCTTTTTTTGGGCCAGTGTACCAGTTAGTTAAAAGTATACCTCATACAATAAGTTAACAATTTGAATATTGGCACTTAAGCCATTAAGAGGAATCTGAAATTTTTTTTCTTGTGAGGATTTTTTTTTTATTGAAAGAAGTCTTCAAATAATGATTAATAATAATGGGAAGCATTTTTTATTGTGTCTTGAAGTTTGTAAAGTGCAAATCCTCACAACAACTTTGTGTGGTAAATGCCACACAATTAATTAATTAACAACCCTGTTTTACTGACGAGAAAAGAGTTGAGAGGTTAAAAGACTTACCTAGGGTCACACAACTAATTAATGTCTGTGGCATGATTTAAACCCATCTTCTAGACAGCAGGCCCAGTCCTCTATTGTACCACCTAATTGTCTACTGAATAGTGAAATATTTATTACCAGGGGGAAGAGTCTTTGAAGTTTGGGGAATTTGGGTGAAGGAGATAGCATAACATTTGTCTTTACCAGCTTTTGACTTTTTAATTTGATATTTCTTCATTAGAGTATGCTTAGAGATTTAAAAAATTCAACATAACATGATTAATAATGCCTTGAAACAGTAAATAAATTTGTTCTAATTTTATTTATGGCATTACATGGAAAAAACTTTTTTTCAATTATTTTTGAAGGTTATTTTTATTTTTCAAATAAGATTTTATTGATGTCATTTACTTTTTATATTATTTAGATTTCTCACTCTACTCTTCCCTGATCCCTCCTAGACAACTGTCCCTTATATCAGGCCTGCACAATCTGTGGCCAGCAAAAGGATCTCCTTTACATTTTTCGAAGTCTGCCTGAAATCCTTTGGCGGGCCACAGGTTGTGCAGGCCTGCCTTATGATAAAGTGAGGAAGAAAAAAGTTCTCTAAAACTACACATCTATCAAAAAAGTCTGCCACTGTAAGCTTTATCCTATACCTAAAGTCTCCTCCATCTTGAAAGACGGGAATGCGAGAGGTGATTAAAGGTTAATTTTAAAGAGTGACAGTTTGTTTTTCAAGAGTAGCTATAGCTTTATTGTTCTGAATAAATTATAATATCCTTTTCATAAGTTTGTTTTCTTATGTAAAGGATTTTTAGAAGAATAATACCAAAAGTGGTAAAAATGAAATTCCTTGGATCATCCATAAATGAATATTCTAGGAACTAGAATACAATTTACATTTTACTGCAGTTTACAATTTCTTCTCTGCCACCTACTGAGAAGCCCGGAAAAAGAAAGCCCATTACAAATATGCACAAAACAAATTTCCCACATCAGCCATATCCAAAAAAATTAAAAGGAAAAGAACATGCTGTGATCTGCATGTTTTCTCATGAAGCTTTTGGAATTGCACTCAGCCACCATTGTGTTGGTCAGAGTTATTGTTATCTTATAACTTTTTATAGTTATTGTATAAATTGTTCTCCTGACATTCTTAATGTCACTTTGTACAAGTCTCTCCACATTTTTCTGAAACCATGATTTCTTTTTTTAAAATTTTATTAATTTATTTTGATTTATCAACAATCACTTCCATATGCTTTTGAGTTGAAAATTTTTCTCCCCCTTCCCCCCCCAAGAGGGCACACAATCTGATATAGGCTTTACATTTACATACCCATTAAACATATTTTCACATTAGTGAAGTTGTAAGTAAAAATTAAAACCAATAGGAGGAACCATCAGAAAGATGAAACAAAACTCAGCAGAAGGTAAAAATAAGTGATAACGATTCGACTTCCATAGATCTTTCTTTGGATGTGGACAGCATTTTCCATCCTGCGGCCTCTGGAGATGTCATAGATCCTCGTAATGCTGAGAAGGGTTCAGTTTAACAATCTTAGTCATTGCATAACGTGGCTGTTATTGTGTACAAAGTCCTCTGGTTCTGCTCACTTCACTCAGCATCAGACCATATAAGTCTTTCCAGGTTTTTCTGAAGTCAGCCTGTTCATCATTTCTTATAGCACATTCATATCACAATGCTCACATTCCCCAATGGATGGGCATCCTCTCAATTTCCAATTCTTTGCCACCACAAAAAGAGCTGCTATGAATATTTTTGTACATGTGGGTCCTTTTCCCATTTGTTTGATCTCTTTGGGATATAGCCCTAGAAGTGCTATTGCTGGATCAAAGGGTATGCACATTTTTGTAGCCCTTTGGGCATAGTTCCAAATTGTTCTCCAAAATGGTTGGATCATTTCACAACTCCACCAACAATGCATTAGTGTTCCAATTTTCCCACATCTCTCCAACATTTTATTTTCCTGTTTTGTCATGTTGGCCAATCTGATAGGTGTGATGTGGTACCTCAGAGTTGTTTTGATTTGCATTTCTCTAATCAATAATGATTTAGAGCATTTTTTCATATGACTATAGATGGCTTTAATTTCTTCATCTGAGAACTGTCTGTTCATATCCTTTGACCATTTATCAATTGGGGAATGGCTTGTGTTCTTATAAATTTGTCTTAATTCTCTATATATTTTAGAAATGAGGCCTTTATCAGAGAGACTGGTTGTAAAAATTCTTTCCCAATTTTCTACCTTCCTTCTAATCTTAGTTGCATTGGCTTTGTTTGTGCAAAAACTTTTCAATTTAATGTAATCAAAATTATCCATTTTGCTTTTCATAATGTTCTCTATCTCCTGTTTGGTCATGAATTCTTCTGTTCTCCATAGATCTGATAGGTAAACTATTCCTTGTTCTCCCAGTTTACTTATGGTATCAGCCTTTATATCTAAGTCATGAACCCATTTTGACTTTATTTTGGTATATGGTGTGAGATTTGGGTCTATGCCTAGTTTCTGCCATACTCTTTCCAGTTTTCCCAGCAGTTTTTTCAAAGAGTGGGTTCTTATCCCAGAAGCTGGGGTCTTTGGGTTTATCAAATAATAGATTACTATAGTCATTGACTACTGTGTCTTGCATATTTAACCTATTCCACTGATCCACCTCCCTATTTCTTAGCCAGTACCAAGCAGTTTTGATGATTGCTGCTTTATAATACAATTTAAGATCTGGAATTGCTAGGCCACCTTCCCCTGCATTTCTTTTCATTAGTTCCTTTGATATTCTGGACCTTTTGTTTTTCCAAATGAATCTTATTATTTTTTCTAACTCTATAAAATAATTTCTTGGTAGTTTGATT